GTGATACTTTGAATTCTGTTATAAGAGTGTAGATATTTTGTTTTAGCAGACCACTAACATGTACTTGTTCTTGTGCATTCTTCACTATCCTCAAATATTTGTTTGGATTTTGTTTAATTTTTTTATCATGTTAGCCAAATATTAGTATTTTATCGCAGTGTGACAGCTGTTTGACTTAGGTAAACCTATTTTTTTTTTCTGAAAATGGTCAATAATATCTAATTTTACAAGTTACTAGTATTTAAATAAATGGTAATATTAATGTGAATAATTTATCTCAGTGCTTACCAAGTGGTAAGGGCTAAGTAATTGACAACATTTATATTTTTTAAGATAAATAATTTTATTTTAGATGGTGATGCAAATGAGACTTTTTTAATAAATGTGAAAAGCCTGAGTCAAGGATAAGAAGTAAAAGTATCTAATTACAATTCAGAACTAGTGACTATTACATTTGAATTTGTCTAGCTGCCTTTAGAAAAAAAAGTTAATTAAGTTCATATTTATTGAGAGGCTACCATGTACCCAATGTTATTCTAAGTACTTGACATGCAATGGTGAGCAAGCAGACACAATCTCAACTTTCATAAAGACTTTGAGAACCAACCTTAAATTGAAAAAAAAAATGCTCTTATTAAGTAACTACCAAGTCTTGGACATTCTATTAGGATCTTTAACTTAAAATAATACAAATAACATGATGTTACTCTTCTATTTTTATTCTATTTATTCATCTGTGTTCCTGTAGCTAAGGTGACTATATGATTTGTCTTCCAAACTTAGCCCCTTCTAAGACTGATAGCAGTTGCTATTAATAAAGTCACCAGTGTCATAGGTATAAGTTAAGACTTCCCATGGCAAAATGAAGTGTGTACATACATCAATTTCTTTTGCAAATAGTAATTTATTTAGAAACTTACACATTAAGGCAATGATTCTACATATTTTTTTATTTTTCATATTTTATTTATCTAGCACATTACATTGACTATTGCTTTACCCCAAATTTTCATCTTTTGCTAACAGAGTCCACTGTCCTAATCCACTGACTTCATTATCTTATCACATTGGCCTGTCTGTAGTAAGAATTTTCTGGATAAGAATCCTTCTAGACTTAATGATTTCTCTTAGTAATTTGTCATCTATTGATCCCACTCTGATTAATGGATAAATCATTATTTGTCCTTGTTATATTCAGAGGTAAACCTAATCTCTCTCCCCTTCTGTATGATATCTCTGTACACAGCCCTACCAATAACAGGGATATGCAGTAGGTTTTTTGTTTGTTTGTTGTTGTTAGATTGATTCCACAAAATTCATGCTGAAGACAGTCCAGGATAAGATATAGTTTGGAGGATAAGGAATTTTATGAGAATAAGCTGAATCAGTAGAATTCTTGCTAAAACTAGACTGAACAGACCTAGCTGAGACCCCAGGATGAGGAATTAGTCAGGAAAACTCAGAGGGGCCTGATTCAGATTTAGTAAAATTATCTTTGTCAACATTCTCTGGAATATTTTTGTACCAAATCATTTATTTTGACTGAAATGAAATAGTCTTTCTTCTATGCCTCCAAGGTTTTCTATGTTTGTATTTTTAAAAATTTCCACAATACTTTGAAGTTACGAGCTTTTTCTCCTTCATTAGACTGTAATATTCCAGACAAACAGTACCATTTTCATTTTTTGAAGACCTTGAGTGAAATTAGATAAAATTTTTTTAAGCTATATCAAATTTTCACTTTTAAAACTTTAGTCAAAGGAATTGACTTTTTTTTTGGTTATTTATAGCCCTGAAACTCAGTAATTTTGCCTGGTAATTACCCCCAGAACTAATTCATGTCTTGGGCATAGAATAATAAATGTGATCATAAGTAGTTGGAAGTTTATATTTGCTCATTAAACCAATGCAAAAGCATATGAACTTTATAGACAATAGCAAGGAGTTTGAATTTTATCATAAGAGCATTTAAGGACAATTAATTAATTAATTAACTTAATTAATTTAATTAATTAATTAATTAAAGAGATCATTTTATCAGAGAACACACAGACATGTTTGTTAGTTTGGTATAGTAAGAAGAAAGTATTTCCATTGGTGGGTTCACATTTAACAAGAAAGAATAAACAATATTATCAAGTCTTGGAACAAAATATGGTTAACAAGAATGCTCTTCTGTATATTTTGTTCTTCATTTTCTATTGGAGGTTGAGGAGTATGACAAAAGTGCTTTTCATTATTTTCTCTATTTATTACTAAATTCTGTGACTCTTTTAACACCATGTTATTGATGGAATTAAGAGATAAAATAAGCCCTTTATTTTCCATACAAAATATAAAGGTAAAGATAATAACAATTAACCTATATATCTTTTTCTTTGTCAGAAACTATTCTAATACTTAGGTAGCATACTTTGTTGACATTTTATATTTTATTAACTCATTTAACTCTATAAGAACCCTTTAATCAGGTATTATAATATCTGTCTTACAGTGAGGAAACAGACACAAAGAATAAAATAACTTTCCTAGACCACACAGTGGTAAAAGTAGGATTTGAACTCAGTTTAAATTGGCTCCAAATTCAAAGCTTTTAACCATTTTGAGTGATATTACTCTTGAGAAACAGATTTACTCTTCTATTTGTTTAATTGTCTATCCAACAAATATACTTATCAGGCATATACTGTTTAATTAACTGATTGTCCCATAAAACAAATCCTGTGCAAAGTAGTAGGTTGGAGGCCTACATTTATAGGATCAAAGAGGATTCCTACTCTTAAGGAGTTTTATATCTAGCTTAGTATTATAGCTAAGGACTGCTACATAGAGCTTTAATATAAGTGGAATTTGATAAAGTATATAAGGAAGTAATTGATATGAAAGTTCTAAAAAAATCTATTTTATTTCAATAATATAAAAGATAATGTACAAAGGCCTTAAGAGTGAATAGAATTTGAGCATATAATAGGGAAAACAATGTAAGGGACAACATGTAAAATAACACATGTAAAGACCCAAACATTGGAAGATGTGGTGTGTGTATAAGGAAAATTTTTTAAAAAGGGAATAACTGAGGTTTTTTTCCTATATACATGACCCAGTCTAAAACATGACATTATGTTATGTCTTATGGATAGGAACCATGAACGTTTTGTTTTTCTTTGTGTAGATATAAGTCATGATATAACTTCTCATTTTTGGAAGATGCATATTAGAGCAATTAGTGATTTTTTAAAACAGAGATTTTGGAATGTAGAGAAAAAAATAGAATTTCAAAACTGATAGTGGGATTATATTCAAACAACTAATGAGAGACTGGCTTTTGTCCTTTGTTTTCCAGTGTCTTGCTTCAGATCCAAATTTTTAATATCTATTTTTGGACACTTTGCTTTTTATATTCTGGTAAACTGCCACTTTTACTTTCTAGACTTTATTTCCTACTTTGCTAAAGACTGTTTATTTTTCTAATGCAGATTCTCCTTTGGCCTTTATAAAAACTTTGGATATTCACTTCCTTCCTACTACTTGTCTATACCACAGATCCTTCCCTTCTTCATGGCCATCTTCACTTCCATCTTCACCATTTGACATAGAATGATATTATGTGAATCTTCCATTAGAGAATAAAAAATCCTTATAGAATAGGCAGGTATGTAATTTCAATAGGTAGAGAAAATTAGTCAAATGTGAATCGTTTAAGCTTGACTTCTATGCTTCTTTTTGCCATTAGATCCTAAATTCATCAACGCTTGTCAAAAAATAGATATGTGAGCAACAAGGTGATTGAAGTTGTATTAGTTAAATTGGTATAGTAACAAATAGACCCAGACATATATCTTATTTTAAGCATAATTATTAATTATTTCAGGTTCCATAACAGTCCAAATTAGCTAATCTTCTTTTGGAATTATTTTTTCAATACATGATTTAGGACCAATGTTTCTTCAGTATTGTGGTTCCACCATCTCTCATGTCTGCAGTGGTCAGAAGTAAAAAAGAAAAGAAAGGAGACTTATTTATTTCTTAAAGGACTTGGATAAGAAATGATGCATCACACTTCTGTTCACATTCCACTGGAAGAGACTTAGCTCATAGTCACACAAAATAGCAAAGCAAGATGAGAAATTTAGTTTCTTTGTCTAACAAAGAGGGAAAAAAACAGTTTAAATGGTAGCTATTTGTTTTCCCCAGAGTTAAGAAAAATAAAGTAAAACTAATTACAGTGTGTATCATTGGAAAATATGAGACGATAGTAGTTTGTAAAATGCAATTAAGTTTAACTTTAAACTGCTTCCATACCTTGATCCCTTATATTAAAACAACAACAACAACAACAACAAAACCTGCAAGTTAACTTGATATGTGAAAAAACTAAAAGCCTAACTTTGGAGAATATTTTTGTAACAAATAGCTAAATCACAGAAAATCATAGCAACTGAACTTCAGTTAATCATAGGCAACCAACTCATCAGACTATTTCCAAATAAGGCAAAACATTGAGCTATAAGCCATCAAATTGTTTCTGTGTATGTCACTTCCACATTGTGTCTATAATAATCCTTGCTCATGTTTTGGAATGGGGCTGTCAGAACCTCCACTCTTCTAGACCCTGCCCAATTCATAAACTGTTTTTGCTCATTTAAATTCTGTTTAATTTGTCTAAGGTTTGTCTTTCGGCAAACTAACTGAAAAATACTATTTATAAGTGCTAAGGATAAGATAAGATGCTGTTGCTGAGTCAGTCCAAGTTAAATAATTGTGAGAAATAACAATGAAAACAGGAATCAGATTCAATTTATTTCTGTGTTAAAATGTTTTAATAGTGATTTTTCTCTCCAAAAATCACAAAATTGGAAAGCAATTTGGGGAAAATGCTTCTTAGTGAAGTAAATAGTATGTTCTCATCAACTTTATTAATATACCCTTCAAAACAATTTGAACAGAAAGTAAGTTTAACTTTTGTTGTAATATATATGTTTGTCTGTTATATGATATAGGTCAGAAGGAGTCTGGAGATGAAAATGAAGATGAAGTACTGGATACCAATTTTAGGATATCAGCATCCAAACTACCTTTATATACTTCAGGTTTATTGAAGTATGATGCAATATTAAAACAGAAAAAACAAGATTATTTTCCTGAACATGCCCATCTATTTCCTACCACCCATCCAAAACCAATAATTAAAAAAGGCACACTACCTGAGACAAATTTAAGACAGTTTTTTACAACACAGAGAGCCGGTATAAAACTCCAAACCCTTAAAGATATTGACAAATATTATGCTGAACAAAAGAAGCAGGATCTCCATCAAGAAAAAATAACAGCTGTATCCAGGGCACAAGTTGACAAAAAAAGAGTTGGCTTAACTGTTCATGAAAGCATAAATAAGAAAAAAATTGCTATAAAAAAACTAATTGAAAAAGATCATAACACTATTCAGAAAAGTTTACAGCAACTTTGGCAAGACAAATTAAAATACCTTATGAAAGTTAAAGAGAGAAGAACTCTGTTTCTAGAAGGAAAAAACCAAAAGGCTGAAGAACATTTAATAGTTCAAACCCTAAATAATGAGCGTACTATTCTGACCAAAGGAATGATTAAAATTGACAGACTGAAGAGGAATGATGCTATCCTAAGACAAAAATGGCTGAGTGTTCAGAAAAAAATAGAAGAAGAAAAATACCAAAAGAATTTACTCAACCAAATGAAGGAACATAGGTGGGTACGGTTTAATATGACAGAAGCTTTGAAGTCAATTACATATAAATATTACATACTAAATGCTGAATTCTGATTAGTAGTATTTTGTTTATAGCATTCTCCTTTGGAAAATGGAAACAAAAAGACAATTATGCATTCCTATATTATCATAGAATAGATAATACAACAACTGTTTTTCCCTATCTCAACCTCAGACAACAAAACCTGATTAATTAATATGTGTAATAAACAGCATTTAACTAGTGCTAAAAACCAGTCTTACAACTTAGTCTCCCTGTCAACATGTAACATGTTTTTTTAATTATTTTTATTCTGAAAGAAGTCTCAACTAGATCTTTTCATTCCCAAATCTCATAATCGCCCTAATAATTCACATTATTCTTCTAATTGAGATTGCCATTCCCATTCTCCATCTTTTCTTCAACTTGTGTATTTTTGCTAGCCTTCAAAACTTACTTAATTTATAATTGTCATAGATAGTATTTTCATCAGCCTCTTGACCAGTGCTAGAAACTAGTCTTATAAATCAGTCTACCTCACTGCCGACATATAATGAGTGTGTGTGTGTGTGTGTGTGTGTGTGTGTGTGTGTGTGTTGATTCCAGGGATTGAACTCTACCACTGAGTCACATCCCCAGTCCTATTTTGTATTTTATTTAGAGACAGGGTCTCACAGAGTTGCTTAACACCTTTCCCTTGTTGAGACTGGCTTTGAACTCTTGATCCTCCTCCCTCAGCCTCTAATGTATTTTAAAAATAAAGTTCTGATTATGTCTATTTAAGTTTGTGGCTTTCAATTGCCCAAATAATGAAATTTAATCTTTTTAGCATTTAAAAAATATGCTCTGTTTAAATCTAGTCATATCACACTAAATTTTCTCCTAGAGTGTCTACCCTCTATTCTTAATTACATTTTTTTTCTCTAGACAAACTCATTCTCCATTCCCTACACAACTTTGCACTTTCTTATTCCAATGATTTTTCTCACACTATTTCCTTTTCTCTCAAATATGACCCTACTGGGGAACTATAAGCCCACAGTGTTACTATATGTTATTATGCAAAAAAAAGTCTCTTTGTTATTGTGAAAATCAGAATGCTTTTGGTGTTTCAAATTAGTGGTGAGGTGATTTCTGTACAGGGATGCAAACTATACTCTGTCCTCTAAGGAAATATCACAAGTAGTTGATGCTTAGCTGTATGTGGCTGTGTTTCACCCTTTTATTTTCCATCATATAGTACGTGAGCTGCACAACCAATGGCAAACCTCATTCTTTTATTTTCTACCATATAGCAGCCAACTAAAATGGTATTTTAACTTCTCTTCAATTACTTTTCCAGTCTAAATTGGTCTTTTAATATTTTGGTGATTCCATAACACTTTATTTAAATGTCAATTCTAGCAATTGTGATAGGCAAGTCTTTATCATAGTGAACTGGGGAAATCCTTTGTAAAATAATTTGGCCCATCTTTCCATTTCTGTGTGTGGTACAGTGCTTAGTTAAAAAAATTTATTCAATAAATACTTATTGAATAAGTATCAAATAGGTATGAATCCCAATTATCAGTGATTGTATATTACTTCATTTAAGTCAGGTAATTGCCTCTGAGAACTCTGAGTGTTTTTTATATATTTTTACTCAATACTTAAGCCATTGAGATGAGAAATAATGCATACATTTTCCAAATGTTTATATAATAAAGATATGTAATCAGAATTGTTTCATTGCTGGAAATCAAACCCAGGGCCTCTGGCATACTTTATCATTGAGCTAAATCCAAGCCTAAATTTTTAAATAAAATATAAAAATATAATTTAGCAAGCTGTGAAAATAGCTTTGCTATCAATTAGAATAGGTATCCATCTTAGCACAAGTGCTTATTTCATGGCAATAAATTTATATACTCTTATTTTCTTTCCCTCAGTGATCCCCCATTATATTTCTATCAATAGGTTCTTATCTTCAGTTCAAATTACTCAAGTAGTGATTCAAGTTTAGCTCTCAGAGATTCCTATCACAGGCAGTGTGGGGACTGGCAAGTCATTTCCCCCAAAAAACTGAAACTCTAGATAGTTGGTAGGCAAAAAAGACAACAAGACTACTACATTTAAATAATAATACAAGTAATAATACAAGTAGTACTAAGAGACAGAATGAAAATTTCTGGTAAATAATAAGTAGGTGGCAGTAATATTGAAAACTGGAGGAGAGAATATTTTATACCTTACCTATCAGAGTATTCAGGACTCACACTTGTATAACAGAACAGGTTACCTAGAGAAAAACACAATAACCTTATTAAAACAAAATTTACATGACATGGAAACTTCTATAAATGAAGAATCAGAGGCCCAGCAAAACGGTATTTTTATGCCTAGGATTGATGAAGAGTGCATAGTTGTACAGAGGTGTGGTTGGACAAAAAGGGGATATGACCTAAATAATAATGAACTGAAGGGAACTCGGCGAGACCTGTGTATTCAGATTATTCTTGTCCTCTTGCTGTAATGTTCCTTCCCTCCAGGTATAGGAGAGGACATCTGAAGATGTCCTAAATACTTTTTGCACAACCAGAGATATGAAAAAATATGCTGTATATGTGTAATATAAATTGTAATACATTATGCTCTCATATATAATAAACTAGAGTAAAAAATAATTTTTTTTAAAAAAAGAACATTAGATTCTTTAAAGGAAATGGGGCAAGAGAACTTCACAGAGAGCTTTCTTCTTCTACAATTTTTTCAATTTCCTTCAGCTTAATACTCAGAATGCTAAGCTGCCATATTTTGGGTATCATTTCCCACATCCCATCAAAACCTCAAAATTAAGTTTTAACTAAACATCACAGTGTTAGTTCACTTCAATTTTCCTCTGCTCTGCCATACAAAGAGGAATTAAAATATTCTTAATTCTCTAAGAGTTCAGTGACAAACATAAGCAAATATTTGAATTCTTACAAAAAGCAGAGGAAATTATGATTATCTATTAGAATTTGGAAAAATCAGAGGAAAAGGGGAGACCATTATTAGCAGAAAAGTTCAGAATAGATAAAAGCAGAAGAGACAACTGAGGTGCAGAATACATTTTAAATATGCATTTTACCACAAAACCTTCTTTTCAAGAAATAGATTGGAAGGTGATCCCAGAAGAGATTTTTGACAAATCTGTTTCAAACAAATAAAAAAAAAGGTAAATTGTTTTGCCATAAAGACTTTTTTATTTTTATTTAAATTTTTGAGTTGTAGAAGCTCTGAGAATTAATATTGATTCAAAATATTTTAATCTATGTATAGCAAATTTAAATTTTAGTAGTTGTCAAAGGATATATTTAAGAGAATAAAAACACGACTCATACATATATAAAATTAGCACATGCAAAAATTTATTTAACAGAATAATGAAGAAGAAACAGTAAAAAGTTACAACCAGTTAAAATGAAAATGCAAGAAGTGTGCATATATATATTCACGTGTGTGTATGTGTAAATAAGAATGCTGATATATATATATATATATATATATATATATATATATATATATATATATATATATATATTCATTCCCACTGGGAAATATTCATGCCACACAAAATTTATTTATATTTGTATAAACAAGAAACATTTGCCTTACTAATTATAACTTGTAGAGTTGTATTTTATGTTTTTATCTCTCCAAATTTAAAATCTTTTAATGTATGGTGTGTGTGTGTGTGTGTGTGTGTGTAATTTTTGAAAATAATTTATAATTTGTATTAAAAATGTATCTTGGAAAATACAATGAAATCTAGTTTGCTATATCAAAATATGTCTAGTGCAAATTAACATTGGATAAATTTAATAAGCTTAATTTTTAATCACAGTAAATTGCATATCTAATCATACTTAATTCAAAAAAGATGCAGAATCAAATGAGCTTTGTAATGAATCTTAACTGAATTATCTTCTAAGTCTGAAAAGATATCCTTGAAAGTGTTGTTTATGTCAGTAGTATTCTCCCTCCCAACACTCACCAAATTTTGAGTTTTACTGTTTTTCTTAAAAAACAAAAATTGAGTATTAATAAACAGAAAGGAACTGTGACACAAAAAAAATAAAAAATAAAATTTGTCTAGAGACATCAGAAGTTTTCCAATCCTGATACATTTTTTGCTGTTGATTCTTCATTAATGTATCAGTATCAATCACTTGACTTAGAAAGTCTAAATGAATCTCAATAATTAGTGAAGTTGTTATTAGGAATGTAGCTCCTTGATCCTGCAATGTGAAATAAAGGGGGAAAAAACAACAGGGAAAAAGAAAATTCTAATTTAGTAAGTTGATAAAATATCCACAGGAGTACCTAAGTGTGAATTAAAGAAGTTTATCCTGAATCATAAAGCTTTTCTCCAACCAGCCACTGCCAAAATCATGGTAAACTTTCAAATTACCTAAAATCAACAATTACCTAACATCAAAAATTACCAAACCTAATGTTAACCATTTTGGATTCCAACAATCCTTATTGTACTTTACATTAATAAACTCATATCTATAGACACAAAAAGACTCTCCCATCATTTGGAACTGCCCCACTTCTGAAATTTTAGATTTTGATATACTTATTTATCTGTGACTAAAATCTATCTTTTCAATTTTTTCCTTTACTTTCACAACACACATTTTCAAATATATAGTTTTAAATATATATGTGTGAATATTATCTATCTTTCTATATATATGTATATATATATATATATATATATATATATATATATATATCATCAACTCCTATGTGGGAACAATCCAATTGTCTATTTTTATTTCTTGAAGTTAGACCAAAATGGGAAGAGGAAATAACTGACCTGTACATTTATGCCAATGTTAATTTTATGACCTCTGACTTTAGCTGCTCCCTCAGTAGCTTTTTTTTAAGAGAGAGAGAGAGAGAGAGAGAATTTTTTAATAATTATTTTTTAATTTTTTGGCGGACACAACATCTTTGTTTGTATGTGGTTCTGAGGATCAAACCTGGGCCACACGCATGCCAGGCAAGCGCTACCGCTTGAGCCACATCCCTAGTAGTAGCTTGTTCTTTACCCACTAGCTATGAGAGCAATTTGAAACCATCACTCTGTCCAACACCACTTATGATCTACTTCTCAGCAAGCCAATTTATCACAAAGAAATTTATTTTCCAAAAAAATTTAGACCTTCCAGCTTGAATTCATTCAATTTAGTATATCCATATCTATAAAATTCTGTATATTATGGATATATCTACTTTTTTCCCTACTATTTCAGGATTAGCTTTCCAATTTCTGTTAGAAGCTAATAATCTTTCTACTTATATTCTTAGTAATCTGTAAAATTATAGAATGAATATCTCTCCATTAATCAGAATTACGGCCCCCAAGAAGATGGATGTCCTGCTCTTATCTCCAGGGCTATGAATAAGTTGAGATACCACACCTGTAAATGTGATAGTAAAAGGAACCCTGCACATATAATTAAGAATGTTAATTAGTCCATATTAAATAGATTATACTGGATTATCCTGGTGGACCCAATGTATTTACATTAGCCTTTAAATTCAGGGCAAAAAAGAAAGTCAAAGGGATTACATGAGAAGGAATTGACATGAGATTGGTAACTTAAAGATGGAGGGAGAAACAAACAAACAAACAAACAAAAAAAAAAAAACATGAGAAAAAAATGAGACATGCCATGCCTGGACTTCTGACTCATGAGAACTATGAGATAATATAAGATTGTTATTATAAGTCAACCTATTTATGGATGTGAAACAGAAATTCCAACTTTGTTCTCCTTTCCATAAGATTGCTTTGATTGTCTGAGGACCTTTGAATTTCTATAAATTTTTTAACAAATTTAAAAAAATTAAAATTAATCATTAAAAATAAGTAAATTAAATCTAATGTATATTCAAAACAAATTTGAATGATAATTCATTTCTACCCCAAATAATCTTTGCATATAAATTGAAATTTTATTGACTCTATGTATTAATTTGGAAGAGAATTGACAGCTTATACCAATTCTTGTACACGGCATAACACTTCATTCACTTAGGTCTTCTTTGATTTCTCTCAGCAATATTTTATTATTTTCAAGTATAGGTCTTGCCTAACTTTTATCAAACTTATGTTTAAGTACCTTATGTTTTTCTGATCATATTTTAAGTGAAGTTTTTTTCTTGATTTCATTTTCCAATTGTTTGATTATGGTATATATAAAAATAATTGATTATTTTGTGTTTCTCACTCTTCAATTATTCTAGATTCTGTTTTTACATTTTCCAAATAGTTTTTATCTGCTAAGGTAGCTATTTTAATATTTTTCTTAACTAGTACCCTTAATTTTATGCGTAAAATTTTTTTGGCCATTAATTTTACTCTACTATGCATCCACATATGACTACTTGAACTCCCGAGTCAAAATAGTAGCAACTACCTTTCATTGAATAATTATTAAATTACAGGAACTCCTTTAAGGATTTTATGTATATTAGTTTACTTGTTTCTTACTAAACATATGAATTGGATTGCCTAACTTCAAAAAGATGAAGAAAAGAGGCAGAAAGTTTAAATAACTCATTCAAATTACACAATACTTAAGTTTCAGTGCTGGATTTTAAACCCCGAAAGAATGATTTTACTGCCTTATACTCTTATAACAATCCATTGTTTCTCTATATTCAGCTCCTTGGAAGTCATGACATGGATAGCAAGGTTCTTGAAGGTCAATGTTAACAAAACAAAACTAAATTTTCCCATCTTTTTGCTCTTCCTACATTTCTTAGTCTGATGAAAACCACTATTATTCATCCAGAAAGCATAATTTTTAAATGTCAGGAATTCTTATATAAACTTTTAATGTAAAAACTCATTTAATCCTCTTCTAATCTCTATGAGTTGGATTATCCCTTTGTAAAAGATGAAGAAACTTGGGTAGAGAGAACTTGGAATTTAACCACTGAACTATACATCCCAGCCCTTTTATATTTTTAATTTTCAGATGGGGTCTTCCTAAGTTGCTAAGGCTGGCCTTCAATTTTCGATCCTCCTGCCTCAGCTTCCTGAGCCCCTGGGATTACAGGCTTGCATCACTGCACCAAGCTCTAAAAGGAGTTCTTTTTCCCATTTGATTATGTCTGTTTTGAAGCCATCTAATTATCATTAGTGACAATCTAATAGTTACTGTTTTAATAACCTAAGTAACAATCTAATTATTACTATTTTAATAACCTAAAACCATCACATTTTATAATCTTTTCTTTTTCCTTTTAGGGCTCAAGAAATATACAGAAAACACTGTGCAGAAAAGTTTGTTATGGATATGCTTACTTTTCAAAAAGATGTTGAGAGATATCAAGAAGCTAAATCTAGAGTTGCACTTGTGAAAACAAATTTTGTCTTTAATATTCCCAATGGAATGTCAAAATGAACCAATGGCAGATCACATTCTATGATCATCTTAAGTTTAGTCCATTACTTTTACCTAATGGACTTTGAAATGATACTCTGAAAGAAATGCTCTGTGTCACAAGATGGATTTATATGTAAATCTTTTAAAAATATAAAGAATAGAGTGTTTCTTGTATTGATCATAATTTAAATCAAGTTGACTTAGCAGCACTAAAAGTTTTCTTATATATCCAGATTCCCAAGGAACAATTAAAACAGATTTTCATTACTACAGGCAATATTGAAAAGATGCTGTATATATTCTCTTTTATATTCTTTCTGAGTGTAGCAATATGTAAGGTATTTTCAGTTTCTCTGGCAAGGTGGTTAGCATAGTAATTTTTGCCCCTACTGCTGACTTTTATTAAGATATTGCTTATTTGACTTCTTTCATTACTTAATTTCATACATTTAACTATATTTCCTGTTTATTTTATTAAAACAATTTCTGGATTTATTTTTTTCAAAGTAGGGTTTTCAGCATTGTATCAGTGATTCGTACTTTCATAAATATTTAGAAAATATAAATGATGTAAAGTAAATAATCTTATTGCCTTTTTTGGAGGTTGTAAGATTTTGGTGTACTTTTGATGTGTTTGACTTTTTTTTGCATATATGTGGAGGCATGGAAGAGAAATAAAGGTAGAAAGAGAAACAGGAAAGAATACATATAATTAAGTAATTGAGATCATAAAGTACGTAGAATGACATAAATTAATTTTAAGTCTGCTTAATACTGATGGTAGAAAACTAGAAAAACATTAAAAATATAAAAATCCTTTTTAAAATTTTTATCAATTTTTAATGTGTTTTCACTTATCTAAGGAAGATAAATACACCACTATAATTGTGACATCACTCATTACAATATAAGTAATAACACTCAGAATTTCTGTTTTATATTAATCAGTTAGATACATATATTTTAAGCCTGCATAGCTTTAAAAATTCTCTAATTTTATCAATTTCCAGAGCTTATTCATTCATGCTTCTATGCTGGACTGCTATCAAATGCTGGTAGTATTTTCTTAATTTTCAGTAAAATAACAAGTGTCTATTTATTTATTTTATTGGTTTTATTAAATTCATGACAGCAGAATGCATCACAATTCTTATTACACATATGGAACAATTTTCATACCTCTGTTTGTTTATAAAGTATGTTCACATCAATTCATGTCTTCATACATGTACTTTGTATCACATTCTTCCATCCTTGCTAATCCCCTGCCCCCTCCCTTTCCCTTCCACCCCTCTTCCCTATCTAGAATTCATCTATTCCTCCCATGCTCTCCCTCCCTACCCTACTATGAGTCAGCCTCCTTAAATCAGAGAAAACATTCAGCATTTGTTTTTTTGGGATTGGCTAACTTCACTTAGCATTATCTTCTCCAGTGCCATTCATTTACTTTCAAATGCCATGATTTTATTCTCTTTTATTGCTGAGTAAAATTCCATTGTGTATATATGCTACATATTTTTTTTATCCATTCATCCACTGAGGAATATCTAGGTTGGCTCCACAGTTTAGCTATTGTGAATTGTGCTGCTGTAAACATTGATGTGGCTGTGTCCCTGTAGTATGCTATTTTTAAGTCCTTTGGGTATAGTCCGAGGAGAGGGATAGCTGGATCAAATGGTAGTTCCATTCCCAGATTTCCAAGGAATCTCCATACTGCTTTTTATATTGGCTGCACCAATTTGCAGTCCCACCAGCAATGTATCAGTGTGCGTTTTTGCCCACATCTTCTCCAACACTTATTGTTGTTTGTCTTCATAATAGCTGCCATTCTGACTGGAGTGAGATGGTATCTCAGAGTAGTTTTTATTTGCATTTCTCTAATTGCTAGAGATGATGAACATTTTTTTCATATATTTGTGATTGATTTTATATCTTATTCTGAGAAGTGTCTCTTCATGTTCTTGGCCCATTTATTGATTGGGTTATTTGCTTTTTGGTATTTAGCTTTTTGAGTTCTTTATATACCCTAGAAATTAGTGCTCTATTTGATGTGGGGGGGGGGTGAAAATTTGCTCCCAAGATGTAGGCTTTCTGTTCAACTCACAGATTGCTTCTTTTGCTGAGAAGAAATTTTTAGTTTGAGTCCATCCCATTTATTGATTCTTGGTTTTAATTCTTGCACTATAGGAGTCTCATTAAGGAAGTTGGAGCCTAATTCCACATGATGGAGATTAGGGCCTATTTTTTCTTGTATTAGATGCAGGGTCTCTGGTTGTATTCCTAAGTCCTTGATACATTTTGAATTGAATTTTGTACATGGTGAGAGATAGGGGTTTAATTTCATTTTGTTGCATATGGATTTTCAGTTTTCCTAGCACCATTTGTTGAAGAGGCTATCTTTTCTCCAATGCATGTTTTGGTAGCTTTGTCTAATATAAGATAATTGTAATTTTGTGGGTTATTCTCTGTGTCCTCTATTCTGTATCATTCGTCTACCAACCTGTTTTGGTGCCACTACCATGCTGTTTTTGTTACTATTGCTCTGTAGTATAGTTTAAGGTCTGGTATAGTGATGCCACCTGATTCACTCTTCCTATTAAGGATTGCTTAGCTATTCTGGGTCTCTTATTTTTTCAGATGAATTTCATGATTGCTTTTTCTATTTCTATGAGGAATGCCATCGGGATTTTGATTGGAATAATAGCTATTTAAATCTATAACACCAGCTCTCATTTTCCTGTTAATTAGCATATAACTATTGAGCAAGTCATATTGGTATTTCTAAGTATTCTTCAAAAAGAACAAAGGGAGATATCATGGGGATGGTGGGGTGGTAGAAAGTATAACAGATATTAACTTTACTAAAGCAAGTTTACCTAATCCAGTTTTCTATTCCAGTTTTGAAATAATGAATATGTTTCGGGGCTTTAATGAAAATAATGATCCATTTCAGATAGCATTATTATGAGAGTTAATTGAAGATAATCCCATATAATTAAAGCATCACAGTATTTTCAACAAAGTAAGCATTTAATAAAGGTTAAGTGTGCAGAGTGGAAGCAGAAATCATCCTCTCTGTAATTATATGAGGATTAATTAACTATTTATGTGAGACTGAAGGGGAACCACCAAGGAATAGTGAGCTTATTTGTGTGATGTATCTGGAACACATTATTTAATCCATACATTTGCTGAGCGTTTGTTGCTCCCTTCCTCTATGCTTCCATTCCATGCCATGAATCTTTTATAGCTTTTACCACACAACAGGCAATCAACAGTATTTTTGGACTATTGCCAGCCAACTGTGAGCTTCTTGAAGGCAAAGGATATTTTATTTGTTTCTTTGTCTCTATTACTTCTCCTGAGTCAAATATGTTACTTACTATGCTTTTAATGTTTATAACTCTCTTATTTATGTAATGTCTCAAGTCAACTTCATGAAATTTACTGTCACTTACTGTTTGTTTTGAATAATCCAAACCCTGTACCTCTGGATTGTATCTCAGTCCTGATATGCATCCTATAGTACCAAAATGCATGCCAAACACCTCTACTTTGAAGCTGACATTTTTTAAGTTGTACATTAAAGTGGAATTCATTTATATATTCATACTATTATCTTATTCTCCAAAATCTTGCTTTTCCTTCTGTATTTCCCAGCACTCCTAGATATATAACCATCTACATGGATTCACTTAGAAGATATCTTTGAGTATTTTATTACTCTATCACATCTTATTAAATATTATACCTAATTAAATCTAACTATAAAAGTTCTCTATGGTGGAAAGTGACTACCTTTTCAACAACTTTATTTTCACTTTCTATAAGATGCAACTAATTATATTTCACAGCCTCTCTTGCAATTAATTGAAGCACATGATTGAGGTTTAAACAATAGAAATATCGGTCAAACTGATGTTGCAATAAAATTTTATTTACAAAATAGAGTACCAGCCAGATTTGATACATGGGTAATAGTTCTAATTCTGTTTATTGATAGATGAACTTGCATATTTTTAAATTTTATTTCTGAATGGTGATGCGTTCCCTCTTCCAATCTTATGTAAACCTTAAAATATAACAAATTTCTCAAATAAATGACTACTAAAATTTTTCTTATACTAATAAAAGTCCCCTCAAGTGTAGCTGTAGATTAATATAATTTTATTTACACATAATAATAATAATACTGAAGTATTTTAAAATAACTCATCATGAAAGAAATATATAATTACCTGGACAAAATGGGTTTACGAAACAAAGTGCCATCCTGAAGCCAAAGTTAAAAGAATGAAATAGCGGCAGGTTAGAATAAAAAATAAAGTTATTGAAAAAAAAATATTAGAACCAGATAGAATACATACTGTGTGTGACCCCTCTTTCTTTGAAGAATGAGATATCGGTACTAGAAAAGTGTTCTTTACCCCTTCCTAGAGTGTACTTAGGTGAAGCAGTAGCCACTGCAATACTGAACCAGCTTTCAGCGATTACAGGAACAGCATCTCAGAAAGAAATTAAAACAAGTTAATTATCAACATTATCTTCCTTTTCTGTCCTTTGAACCAAAAGTAAATCTTATATGGTGTCCAGTGATCAGTATATTAGTCCAAATTGTGTAGTTTGTGGTAATAGAAAGCAATGCTTTAAAGTGTAGGCTTTTAAAAAGAAATGGGTTTGAATTCTTTGCCACTTTACTAATTGTAAGACTTTGGGAAAATCAATGAAGATCTTCTTCATTTGTAAATGACATAACTATATAAAACATATTGGGCATTACTATGTTATGTTAAGAAAAATTCAGTTATGATAATGATACCTAGGTAGGAAGGCAGTAGATATTTTTCCAGTTATTAAGAAATGACCCTTGGTTTTAAAACTTTCCTGGTGTTTTGATATCTTTGGCTTTGTATTCTTCTTTGAAGATAATGTTTTCTAAAATCACTTATTTATCTGTCAAGAGTAATGGGTCTTGAAATTACAGAAAAATACCAACGCAAACCTAAAATATCTACTAGGTTGAGGTGGTATTTCATGGTGTTTTGTTTGGTTTGCATTTCCTGATGATTAGTATGTTCAGCATTTTATCATGTAATCTGTTTGCCATTTGTACATCTTTTGAGAATTCTCTAGTTTTACTACCCATTTAAAAACAGGATTTGATTGATTTTTGTTTTTATTGTCATTTTTAAAACTTGTGCACTATAGTTAATTATACATTCAAGTAGAATTCATTGTGATATATTCATACGCATACATGACATAGTTTTGTTACTTTCATTCTGCTGTTTCTCCCCTTTCCCATCCTCTCTCCCTCCTCCTCATTTTCCTTTCTATACTCCACTGTTCTTCCTTTTATTTTTTGAGACCTCTAACCTTTTCTTAATTCTTTATTTATCTCTAGCTTATGCATATAATAAAAAAATGACTCTTTCTGAATCTTCCTTACTTCATTCATCATGATATTCTCCAGTTCTATCCATTTACCAGCAATGGCATCATTTCACTCTTTATGATTGAGTAAAACTCCATTGTGTGTGTGTGTGTATGTATATATATGCCATATTTTTATCTGGTCATATATTGAGGAAAACCCAGCCTGCATGTAGCACTTTACTATGATGATTTTAGTTCTTTTGGATAAATACTGTGAAGTGAGGAGATCCAAGATGGCGGGCCAGAGGGAGGCAGCATTCTGTGTTGCTCTGTGACCTGGAACTCAAGTTGTGAGAATAGTGCTTCTCTGTGAGCAAAATTACTGCTCCTGCATGGGAATCATGGCCACTGTCCCCTCCAGTGCTCCAGGCCTCAGCATCAGAGTAGGTCTCACAACTACTCACCCACATAGGACTATCAGGTACCCAAGCGGGACCATCAATACCTGTGCAGAACTTTTGGCTACCCACCCGAGCAGAAATCACCAATGCCACTCCCATGCAAGTCACCTGGCAGCTTCCCACCCACTACTCCCGTGTGGACCCCCATCTACCCTCGTGGGGCTCCCCTGTTTGCCGCCATCTTGGGGACTCTGCAACAACAGAGATAGTCCCCTATGTGCAGTAGCCCGCCTGCACCCAAGAACTTCACACAGGCTCTGAA